CGTGGACCGCCTGTCGCGCGACTAAGCCGCCAGCTGATCTACGGAGGCCGCCGCCAGAGGCGCCAGCTATACGACGAGGGCCAGGCGTGGCCGCGAGAGCTGCGAGGGCCACCTGCTGAGCTTCCAGGGCCACAGCCAAAGCTGCGCAAACTTCGGGAAGGCCGACCCCGCCCCCAGCAAATAGACAGGGGCGACGAGCTGAATGGCAGTGGCCAGGACCTTGCTCCGAGACCGGCCATGCGAACCGCGCGGGCCACGGGCAGAGCCACTGGGAGCCGCTGCCTGAGCCGCGCGGGCCACGAGCAGGACCGCAGAAGCATCCCGCAGCGTTGCCGGAGCGACGAGCTTTTCTACAAGTGCCACCTGCTGAGCAAGGGCGACCGCCAGCTGAGCTACGAGGGCCATGCGCTGAGCAAGTGGGTCCGCGCGCTGAGCCACGCCCCGGGCGGGGCTTCGATCGCCGCGGGCAGCGTTCCAAGGACCGCCATGCAGCTGAACCGCGGTCGAGCTGCGAGGACCACCGGCCGAGTTATCAGGGCCACAACCAGAGCTACGCGGACCGCTGGAAGAACTGCAAGAGTTTCCTCAAGGGCCACCTGCGCAGCAACGAGGGCCACGACGAGAGACGCTAGCAGAGCCGCGAGGACTGCGAGCTGAGCCACGAGCCCCACCAGCTGAGCTACGAGGGCTTCAGCCGGAGCTACGACGGCTACAACTTGAGCTACGCGGACCACGAGCAGAACTACGAGAGCCTCCTGCAGATCTACCATGGCCACCTTCGAACCTTGTAGAACCATGCGCTCAGATACGAGGACCACAGGCACAGCTACTAGAACCACCAGAAGAGCTACCGGGGCCCCAGGTGGACCTCCGAGGTCCTCAAGCTGAACCACGAGGCCCGCAGGCAGAGCCACGACAGCCACCGTAAACCTACGAGGCCCGCGAGCCGAGCTACGAGGATCATTGGCACAGTTACGAGTACCAACATAACTTCAAGGCCTCCCTGCTGAGCTAGGAGAGCCACCAGCAGAGCTACGAGAGCCACGAGCTGAGGTTCGGGAGGGCAGCCGCACACGTCTCGCGGGGCTGAAAGCACGGCCGGCCCTCAACGGCAAAGAGGGGTCTTGGGCCCTTTTAACGTACAGGCCTTGCGAGGGGCATGTCGAACTGGAGCAACCCAGGTCCGCATCAGGACACCTACGGGAAGCACTCAAATTGAAGGCTCGGCAAGATGTACCAAGATCGGGCCAGAGCTTTCCAGTACTACAACATGCGGCAAAACGAGTGCGTGTTCGAGCGGCTGTACGACGTCACGTTTGCGGAGGGCCGGCCTGAGCTACCCACATCCTCGACATGGTTTAGCGCGAATTTTTTACCGATGTCGTAGAACATAACACCACGAACGGGGTCACAACGGCGAGACCGGCCTGCCTGAATCTGGCGAAGTTACAATTTACAGCGTTTCGGACAACGACCTCCGAACACATCGTTACACACAAGATACTACGTGTACTTCATTTTAGTTTTGTGCCACATGCCATGAGCGGCCCCGCCGCTCCTTTTTATTATTATTATTCTTTTTCTTCTTCTTTTTCTTCTTCTTCTTCTTCTTCCCCTTTGTGAGCCTCACGATGGTTTGATGATGGCGTTGGGTGTCCCTCCCTCCCTTCCCGCTTCCCCTCCCTCGAAAAATGGCGCGCCTCGGCCCCGGGCGCCGCGCCGCGGGCGGCGTGGATTTCGCGACCGGGAGCGCAGGGGACGGCCGAAACCGCTCCGAGAGAGCGAGAGAGAGGAGCAACCGTAGCAAAATGAGAAGGAGATACGAAAGGAGGGACAGTCAGATCTGGACGAGGGGGGGGGGGAGGGTGGAGGGAAAACGGAGGACGGAGGAAGGTGGTGATAGCATGGCGAGGAGGAGGGGCGAGGATTGGGCGGAGGAGGAGGAGGAGGAAAATAAGGAGGATGAGGAAGAGGAGGAGGAGTAGGAGGAGGAGGAGGAGGAGGGGGAGGAGGAGGAGGAGGAGGAGGAGGACGGCGGAGGATGCGCGGCAGCATCAACGAGGGCAGGAAGAGAGATGAATATGGAACATATGGAGGAGAGGGGATGGTTGGGATGGCGGAGCGGCGGGAATCGGGTGAGGACGACGAAAGGAAAATGGACGGCGACGTTACTGATGACGATGAGGAGGAGGAGTCGAAGGAGTAGGAGGAGGAGGAGGAGGAAGAGGAGGACGAGGAGGAGGAGGACGACGACGACGACGATGACGAGTCCAGGAGGAGAACCAGTGCAAACCAAAGAGTCATCAACGATATTGGAATAAGTTCTCCTTCCAAGCCCCCTCTTCATAGGCCGCATACAATGGTACACTTCCACAGGGAACTTTTTCGTTGGAAGACAACCGTTTGAAGACCCTGACGCATGCCAAAGCATCGTTTTCGGGATTCCAACGCCACGGATCAACTTGACTGTTTCGTCTTGGCCATTCTGAATCGTGCCAGAACGTCTGTTGGGGACTTCAACACCGCGAATCCACGTAATTGTTGCGCCTTCATTTTCCTGAATCATCCTGTACGCTGATCATGGGAATCCGTGAACCGGTTGTTAAAGCACGAGTCTGCGCAGCGATGAGGCGAGAACCACATGAAATGGAACCGCCCTCAATCCGTGAAGTTCTTGTAAGTCGTGTAAAACATCTACGCGGCGGTAAGGCGAAAGCCACACTTTGAAAAGGAACCGCCCTCAATCCGCGAAGCTCTAGCAACTGTGTGAAACGAATATGTGCGGCGCTAGGGCGAGAGCCACATGTTGAAAAAGAACCGCCCTCAATCCGCGAAGCTCTTGCGAATGTAAAACGAATGCGCGCGGCGCTAAGGCGAGATACACATTTTGATTAGGAACCGCCCTTACTCCGCGAAGCTCTTGCTAATGTTCAAAACGAATGCGCGCGGCGCTAAGGCGAGAGCCACATTTTGAAAACGGCCCGCCTTCCATCTGCGAAACTGCTGCCATGTTTTAAGCTTCAGGGTCATAAATGGTGAGGACGTCTCAGGCGAAACTCCCAGAACGCCATAAAAACTGGCCCCGTGGTGCGACAGGGACAAGTTATCTATAAGGAGAAGGAATGGAGGAGGAGGGGTAGAAAGAGGAGGAGGCACAGGCAGAGGCATGGGGGAGAGGAACATGAGGGGGAGGAGGAGGCAGAGGAACAGCGACATGAGGCGAGGACCGAGGAGGATGCAAAGGAGGAGGCAGATGCAGCGGAACGAGGAGGCGCGGTCGGCCCCAGCCATCCGCAGAGGCTGGCGCAGGCTCAGAGAGGAGGAGGAGGAGGAGGAGGAGGAGGAGGAGGAGGAGGAGGAGCAGGAGGAGGAGCAGGAGGAGGAGCAGGAGGAGGTGGAGGAGGAGGTGGAGGAGGGGGAGGAGGAGGAGGAGGAGGAGGAGGAGGAGGAGGAAGAGGAGGAGGTGGAAGGAGGAGGAGGAGGAGGAGCTGGAAGGAGGAGGAGGAGGCGGGAGGGGTGGAAGCAAGGATGACATCATGCATTTCGGCAGGGAGGTATGGAGCTATGGCGCCCTCCTGGCACCTCGCTTCCCATAGGGAGCACGCGGTTGCTGCAATTGCCGGTGCGGTTGCTAATCTCCCCCCGCCTCGGCCCAGAATGTTGTGATGGAGTGAACTTGCCTGGCTGACCATCCTTGCTTCGGGTCGTAGTCCCTCGCTGGGTGGCCACATGCGGACCCTGCCCTACCATCCCACGATTCTCAAGGGGCGGGGGCGTGGGGTTCACTTCGCTCGGGAAGTCCCGAACGAAGTGCACCCCACTCCCCCGCATGCGGCCTCCTGCTCGCTCAGATGTTTTGCGCCATGCCGCAACTGCAGCCTGCACGACCAAGCAGGCGGGGCGGCGGAAGGAACGGGGCTCGTGGGAGGCGGCCTGCGCCTTCTGCCGAAAGGGGGCAGCTAGGCTGATCGAGAGAGAGAGAGAGAGCGGGAGGGAGGGAGAGGGAGAGCACGGTCACCGCGCCCTTCGTGTCTCAAGAGCGCCCAAGACGGCCAGAGAGGCTCCCAAGATCCGGCCCAGATGCATTTTGAGGGGGCCTCTCGGTGCCTTCCTGAGGGCATCCCTGGGGGCTTCTCGGGGGCCCAAGGTCCGATTGACTGTTGTGGTACATCGCTGAGCGGCAATGGCTCACGAGGAGTTTCTAGCATCTCTCTCAGGTTATAGCTGCGCCGCGACGCGACGTATCGTACACCTCTCACGGCGGCGGGTGCACGGCATTACTTTTAAGTTGGGCATGTCCCTCCACAGGAGAAATATTCAAGAATTGTCCAACAACAGTCTGGGGATGTCTTTTCGTGCTCTATTGACTGTTTGTTGTTTTGTGATGACTATGCTTCATTTGTCTTCCAAACTCCGCCTGTAGCAGGACATGCCCGACCTTACCCGAGGATCGGACTGATATCCGACCTCACTGGGGGTCTCTTGGGGAACTGCCGGCTGTCTCGGGAACCATCTTGAAGCGGAGGGCTCCCCAAATGTCAGGTCGAGTTCCGCCCCCAAGGTTTCAGGAAGAGTCCCGCGTCGCAGTCCAGGAGCTGCAGGAATCCAGAGACCCCCAGCAGGTTTACTGTAAGAGAGTCTGTACGTTGACGTTCGGGCTCAACTCATCAAGGCAAGCATCCGAAGAAATGATCTCGCCATGGTAGCGGAGCCGTGGTCCCGACCCTCCCAGTCTACGGGGTCGGGTTCCGCGGCTCCCGCTCCCGCCAGCGGCGCGGAGAGCCCCAGCACCCTGGGGCGGGCCGCCGGCGCGGGAGCCGCAGCAGGGCCGGCCGGGCCAAGCCCAGGCAGCGGCGACGAGTGGGAGCTCCTCGAGGTCCACCGAGGCTGGAGGAGAGTGGCGAGGCAGCTACGCAAGCTGTTCAGGCTCAGGAGGACCTGGGCGGCGCTGGGCCAGCACCTGAAGGATTTCACGAAGCTGCGCGCGAACCGCCGCTGAGATGGCGGAGGAGCGCGTGCAGGCTCTAGAGCAGCAGATGATTGCGCTGGCCCAGGAGCTGCAGAAACGCCAGCAGAGGGAGAACGATCTCACGGCCGAGGTGCAGCGGCTCGGCCGTGCGGCCGAGGCTAGACTACGGGTGGACGGGCCTGTGCTGCAGCCTCGAGCTGAGTCGCTCGTGGACACTCGCACGCTGGGCAAGCCGGATGTGTTCGCGGGCGAGGAACACCTTCGGAACGATTGGAAGGTGATCTTCAAGGCGTACTGTGGCGTTGTGAACGCCGACTTGCTGGCAGGGATGCGACTGGCAGAGAGTGTTGACGAGGCCTCAGTTCAGATCGATGACTTCATCGAGGAGAATATGAGGCAGGCCTCGCAGCAGCTGTATTACATCTTGCTCCTCCTCTGCCGGCACCACCCTCTGACGACGATCGTGAACGCTGGCGAGAATGAGGGCTTCCAGGCTTGGCGCAAGCTGGTCGAATACTACGAACCGAACGCGAGGTCCCGCATCGCGGGGCAGCTGCTGAACCTCCTGAACTTCTCGTTCACTGGCGATGTCGATCCTCATAGAGGCCATCACGGCCTCTATGAGGATCGGCATCGTCCTCTGGCAGCTCGAGGAAGGCCCTCTACGCCAGCACCTCTGGCTCAATGCGACCAGGCTGGTGGAGTGGCAGGACTTCCGACGCGAGGTCACCGACGTCCGCCGTGCCCAGAGCGCCATCGCCCCGGTGCCCGTGCCCATGGATCTGAGTGCGTTCACCAAGGGTGACGGCAAGGGCAAGTCCAAGGGCGACGGCAAAGGCAAGGGCAAGTCCAGTGGCAAGGGCAAGAGCAAGGGCGACAGCAAGGGCAAGTCCAAGTCCGACGGCGTGGGCGAGACCGGCAGCAAGTCACATGGTCAGCAGCTTGGGCCACTCTGCTGGGGCTGCGGCGGTCGCGGCCGCACCCAGCGCGAATGCCCGAGCAAGCACAGGGGGACGTTGGCGAGCATGGAGCAGACGCTGGCTCGCATCAACGCCTCCCGGCCGACGAGTACGACTGTGCCATCGGCGGCCAGCTCTATATCTCGACGGCTGCGACTACGAGGCTGAGTCCGGCGACGGCGATGTCCGGCGCGAGCTCTCGACAGGTCGCAGCACTCTACCTGAACGACGCGGACGAGCAGGTCAGCTACCCGTTCGCGAACCTCCACTCCCTCATCATCCACGACCCGGGGCCGGACAAGGCGGACGTGGTCGACTCTGCGACCGGCGCGGCCCTGGACCTGAACACGATCCACTGCAATTCGGATGCGGGGGAGGTCGAGCTCAACGGCATCTTGCGTGTGGGCATCGACTCTTGTGCGGCGGCATCGGCGCTGCCGCGTGGCTCGTGCGCGGACTACCCGGTGCACGAGGGCGGCCAGGCGATCTCGTGCAAGACCGCCTCTGGCCACTACGTGAACGACGAGGGCGAGAGGCTCCTCGTGGGGGCGATGCCTGGGGCATCCCAGGCACGCGCTGCCAAGTTCAGGGTGGCGGACGTCAGCAAGCCGTTGCTGGGCGTCGCGGAGATGGTCGACTCTGGCCATCGGCTCGTCTTCGGCTCGGAGGGCGGGCAGGACATGAGCTACGCGCATCACAAGACCAGCGGAGACGTCGTCAAGTTATGCCGCAGGAACAAGGTCTACGAGATGGACGTGCACGTCGACCCGTACGTGCCGGAGGTCTGTCCGGTCGAGGTGGCAGGCCGCGAGCCTCCCGAGTGCGAGGCCGGCCAGCCAGGCGCGGCTTACGAGGGCGTCGCGGAGGGCCCGCCGGCGCGGCCGGCGAGGGGGCCCGCGGCGCCGACGGCGGCCGAGCGAGCCGCGCGTGAGGTGCTGCACGAGCCCTACAGGGCATGGCGCCGGGAGCGCGTCTCCGGCAGGGGCCTGTCCGCATGCATCAGACGAAGGACCGCCAGGAGTCGGCGCTCGCGGTGGTTGGCATCGACTACGGCTACCTCGGTGAACGAGAGGACGCCACGCCGCTGCTGATCGGGAAAGATTCGAAGCAGCGTTGGTTCCACGCATCGGTGGTTCCACCCAAGGGGGCGCAGCATCCCTGGCCGGCAAAGTCGTGGGCCAGGAGGCTGGTATCGGCTGGCCACAAGCGCTTCGTCTTCCGCTCGGACGGCGAGGCGCCGCTCGTCGCCCTGAAGACCCGCATCGGGGCCAAGCTCAAGGAGGAGTACGGCATCGAGACTGTGCCCGAGGAGAGCGCGGTCGGCGACTCTCAGGGCAACGGCCTTGCCGAGCACGCGGTGCGCGAGGTCAAGGCCAAGGTGAGGACGGCGCGGGCGCAGGTGGGCGACCTCCACGGCGTTAGCATTGGCGTCGAGCACCCGGCGACCCCGTGGATGGTCGAGTTCGCAGCCATGTCCATCAACCTGGGCAGGCGGGGCGCGGACGGCCGCACGGCTTGGGAGCTTCGGTACGGCCGCCCCTTCAACAAGGACCTGGCTTGCTTCTCGGAGAAGGTCCTGTACCTCCCAGGGGGGAAGCGCAAGGCCGGGATCGAGGACAAGTTCCTCGCCGGGCTCTACCTGGGGCCCACGCTTCGGACGGACGAGGTCTACATCGGCACGGAGTTGGGCGGACTATGGGCCAGGGCCTTCAAGCGGTTGACGGTCGAGCAGCGGGCTGACAAGGACCTGCTGAACAGCCTCGCGGGGAAGCCGCGGGCGCCGGCGCCGACGGACATGGTGGTGGGCGAAGTACCGGCGGCCATCGAGATCCGAGCGCCGGCGCCGGCGCCGGTCGCGCCTGTGGGCGGACCTCTGGCGCCCATCCCTGAGGCTGCGGACCTCCCGCCCCGGGCTCCCCGAGTCGGGCGACCACCGGCAGGGCCGCGGGCCGTCTACACCAGGAAGGACGTCGAGATCGCGAAGTGCGGGATCTCCCCGGGCTGCTACGGCTGCGCCGCGATCCTCAACGGCGCCCGGGCGCAGGCTCACGCAGCCGAGCGCCGCGCTCGGATCGAGCAGGCGATGCAGGACGACGAGGAGGCTAAGCAGAGGCTCGAGGATGCCCGCGAGCGGAAGCGGCATCGCTCTGACGTCGCCGGGCCTGTCTACCAAGAGGGCGGCTCGCCCGGCAGTGGCGGCCTAGCCCCAGCTCAGCAGGCGCCGCCAGCACCCGAGGCCGCGGCGGCGGCTGACGTGGCGATGGCACCGACACCACACGAACCAGGCGACGACAACATGCAGGAGGAGATCGGCGCCGTCCTGCTCTGCCTCGGCTACAGCGGGCGCAAGGCCGACGTGATGGAGGTCTTCTGCCCGAATAGGCTTGTGGGCTTTGCCCCCCCTGTTCGGTCTGGTCCACGGCGGCTCGTTCGACCTGAGGGTTGGCTGGGGCCTGGCCGACCGCCAGCAGCAGCGACAGTGCCGGGAGCTGATCGAGCACTTCGAGGTGCACTTCCTCTTGGGCAGTCCTCGCTGCGCGCCGTTCTCCATGCTGAAGTACCTGAACGAGGACACGGAGAAGCAGCGCGAGGCCTACGCCATCGGGCACGAGCACTTGAGTTTCGTGATGGAGCTCTACACGCTGCAGGTGAAGCACAACCGCACGTTCTTGCACGAGCGCCCCTGGAGCGCGGACAGCTGGGGCCTGGACATCGTGAAGGACGCGATGGCTCTCCCAGGTGTCGAGGTCGGGCGAGGCGACCAGCGCGCGTTCGGCCTGGTGGTTGCGGACGCGCACGGCGACAGGCTCGCCAAGGAGCCGACAGGATGGATTTGTAATAACAAGGAGGCGTTGGATGAGGTCTGCAAGCGCTGCCCCAGTGATACTGGCATTGGCAGCAACCACGAGCATTCCACCTTCGTCGGCCGCAACATGCGCGTGGCGGAGAGGTACCCGGTTAAGCTCCTCCGTGCCATCCTCCGTGGCCTCCGCCGTCACCTTGGGAACAGGAAGGTGCTCGCGCTTTCGGCCCTGGATGCTGGGCCGAACGTGGGCGATGAGGAGATCAGCCTGAAGGACTTCGCCGGGAGGTGGCGCGACGCGCTTAGGACCGAGTTCTACGACGACCTCACTGGCCTACCGCTGGACCCCGCGCGTGTGAAAGCCGCGAGGCGCCTGGAGATGGATTTCATGGCGCAGCTTGGCGCGTGGGTCTACGCGAGGGAGGAGGACTGCCAGCGCGAGCTTGGGCGGAGGCCTCTCAGTGTGCGCTGGGTCGATATCGACGAGGGCGACGCCGACCGGCCGGGCTGCAGATCCAGGCTCGTCGTGCAGGAGACCAAGGCGCAGAGCACCATCGCCGGGGGCGACATCGGCGCGGTGTTTGCGGCGACCCCGCCGCTAGAGTGCTTTCGGCTCATCTGCAGCATGGCGATGTCGAGCGACCCGTCCGAGGGCCGCGTGCTGCGCGTCCTGGACATCTCGCGGGCACGCCCGCACTGCGAGATCAAGAGGACGGTCTACATCAAGCTTCCAGAGGAAGATCCGATGTCGCAGGAGATCGGCACGCGTGGGCTCTTGCGGATGGCGCTCTACGGAACGCGCGACGCTGGCCAGAACTTCGAGCTCACGACTGCCGAGACGGTCATCGGTGCTGGCTGTGACTAGTCGGCCTTCTCGCCTTGCGTGTACTGCCACAAGGACCTACAGGTGAGCTTCTTCCACCACGACGATGACTTCGTGCTCGAGGGCTCTCGGGGCGGGACGGAGTCGATCTGCGAGGCTCTGAAGACGAAGTTCATCGTGAAGGACAGGGGCGTGCTCGGGCCGGCGCCCACCGACGCGAAGGAGATCACGCGCCTCAACAGGGTAGTGCGCTGGAGAGACCGATGGAGCCAAGGGGGCGAGGCCATCGAGTACGAAGCGGATCCCAGGCACGCGCAGATCCTGCGCGCACAGCTCGGAATGGACCCCCGCACTACGAAGTCATTGAGCACGCCAGGGCTGCGCCAGAAGCTGACGCCTGAGGTCGAGCGCGAGCTGAACGAGCACGAGGCGGCGGAGTACCGCAGCGCGCGCATGAGGCTGGGCTACTTGGCGCTCGACCGGCCAGATGTGCAGTTCACGGCCAAGGAGTGCGCTCGCGGCATGCAGAAGCCGACAGAGCGACACCTCCGCCTCCTGAAGCGCGCTGGACGCTTCTTGATCGGGGCGCCGCGGGCCATCTGGAAGTGGGGCCGACAGCGGGCGCCCACAGTGATGGACATCTACTCGGAGACTGATTGGGCAGGCTGCCCGATCACGCGGAGGAGCACGCCAGTTCTGTCGTGATCAAATATGGGCAGCGCCTGATCGTGACGGCAGCGACGACTCAGATCCCCATCTCCATGAGTTCGGGGGAGGCTGAGTTCTACGGCTGTGTGCGAGCGGCCAGCAGGGCCATCGGCATGCAGTCACTGTGCCATGGCCTAGGCAGGGAAGCGAGCCTTCGCATCTGGAGCGACTCGGCAGCTGCTCTTGGCATCATGCAACGACGAGGTTGCGGCAAAGTCCGACACCTCGAGACGCCGACGCTGTGGGTGCAGAAGGCACTCAAAGACGGACGGTTTCAACTGGCCAAGGTTCCCAGGAAGTCGAACCCGGCGGACCTGGGGCCGAAGTTCCTCGACCAGGCGGCGATGCTCCGAGGGCTGAAGATGATGAATGTCGAGCTCTCGGACGCGCCTCTCTCGAGTGCCCTTCAGGCGAAAGTCTGAACCAGAGGCACGAGCGGCCATTTTGGCCTGGCCATTTCGGCCTGCAGTCTTTCGCCCCGCGCTGTCATTGCCTTGGACGGGCTACGGCCGTCAGCGCGGTCATGGCGTGTGCTCTTGATTGCAGTGCTGGACCAACGGCGTGGTCTAGAGCGCTGTGTACTGTCAAATGAGCTTCGGAGCTTTTCAGGATTCGAGTATCGTGCCTGGCTGAGGGGCCGGGCGGCACGAAGGGGGCTGCAGGAATCCAGAGACCCCAGCAGGTCTACTGTAAGAGAGTCTGTACGTTGACGTTCGGGCTCAACTCATCAAGGCAAGCGTCCGAAGAAAAGATCTCGCCAGGAGCGCCCCGGAAATCCGAAATCTGATGATCTTCGTTTTAGTATCTCGCGGCACGGTGGCGGATTTGGAGGGAGGGGCGTACATAAATTGGTGCTGAAGGGGGGAGGGAGTGCGATGCGCCAGGAAACACGAGCTGGGACGGATGGATGACGGAAGTGATAGCGGACGGGGTGGAGAGGGAGGGATGGGGGAGGAAAACGGAGGAATGGAGGGGCAGGAGTGGAGGGAGTGAGTCTTCGACAGGACGAGGGAGGGAGGGAACGACCTGGACGGGTAGGTGTGGGCCCCCGGGCTTCTCCGGGGGACCTTCCCAATTTCCCCAGGCGCGTCTGGCCGTGGCGGCGAGAGCCAAAACAACGACGACGCGCAGACAGCTCGGCTTATGACAGGCAAACGCACGCTCAAACCTGCAGGGAGGAGGAATTGGGAAGGGCAAGGCGATGGAGGCGCTACAGTCGACCGAACAACAAACGATACCACCCCACCTACGGCCCTCCACGTTGCGCTACGGCCCCTCAGGGCCGCACAATGGAAACCCATGCCAAGAAACATGTTGCTTGCCTCCAGGGTGCCCTGGGTTTTGATTGTTTTGCAATGGACAGCGGGACGTTCCCACACCAAAAAACAATGGACGTCCTGGGGTCTCAGGGTTTGGCTTCTTCCAGAAGGTTTCTTGTGGTCGAGTTCCTGCGGCAGCGCGTGCCTCGCAAAAGCCCACGCCAGATTTCCTGGTATGCGCTGGGCCCCCTGGGGCCGCAGGTGGCGTGTCGTCGTTTGTTTTCTGGTCCACTGGAGATACATGAGCACAAGCGGTTTGGCCCCGAGAGGGGCCCCCGCTCGAGTGAGGACCCCTTTCGACAACACGCGCCCTTCGCAGAGAGTTTCTTCATGCGCG